GACGTGATTGACAATCCCTTTAGCAAATTTGTTGCATGAAGTCTAGTGCCTATCAACAACGGTGTTAACTATGTGGTGGTCCACTTGGACACCACTCACCCTACTGACAGTCTTCAGTATTCTACGAATTGTGACATAGTCCTTTTTAAGCAAACCAGGAAAGAATAAGGGTGAATGATTAAGAAGAACAAGTAGGATGCAAGTGTTTATGAACAATAAGAAGAGGGGTTGAGCTATACTAGAGTGTCTTAACTTCTTAATGTAAAATGTAAGGCGGAATATTTTACTGGAGATTGCTAAGACATGGGAAGACTAGGAGAGATCAGAAGAGAGAATAAGTCCAAGATACTTAATTTCTGATTTGATTCCTATATCATTGTCGTCAATTTTACAAGTGTCATGAGAACCGATGACTTCTTTTAACTGCCGTTTACATCTTAAGCTGAAATCAACAGTTTGACACTTAGAAGGATTCAGTTTAAGACCGTTAGACTCAGACCATTTGCTGACTTCCGACAGAAAGCTATTTATTTTAGTACAATCTAGCTGGGAGTTAACAGCCATTGAAACCGTTAAATCATCAGCGTACTTCACAAAGTTTATTTTATCAGAGTGAGGCAAGTCATGCAAGAAGAAAGAAAAAAGAAAAGGAGAAAGAACAGCACCTTGAGGGACACCAGCTTCAGTAGGCAATGAAGTGGAAGACTTCCTTATTTACGGTGTACTGCTTTCTATCTGAGAAATAGGAATGTAACCAGTTAACAGCCCAACATTCTGTTTGACTAGCAGCAAGTTTATTTAATAAGATGTCCCTAGGGACCGAGTCGAAAGCAGATGTATAGTCTAGGAAGGCGCAACGAAAAAATTTGGCCCCTTGTCTAGACTGGAAGCAATGTTATGATATAAGATGGCAGCTGCATCTAAAGTGCTTCTACTGTGCTTATAGGCAAATTGGGTATTAACTTAATTGGGTGATTTATCTGTATGATTTTTTCATCATTTTTATTGCAATTAACACCAGATGTGAATTGTACTGAATGCAGATTAATATTGGTTATTGTAACGCAGTTTGTTTTACTGCATCCACGTCAGCCAAGGCCGCCATTTGCCGCTGGATGGTTGTTCCGTACGAGTAAGTCGATTAACACGTAGAATGCTATATGTAAACCATTTCAGATCGTTGTCAGTGCTTGCAAAGGATGCTGTACAGCGTCCTGTTATGGCGACAGTGGATTTTATCAAAGGTGCTGGGCCAAAATTAGCCAGCCCTTGAAGAATCATATATGAGTAGTGAAGAAGTTTTCACGGAGTGTTGACTTAAGGGCTTTTATTGTCACTGTGCAGGTTTGGTTACGCAGATGGTAAGAGCCTTCCTGTGTGAATTGTATGTCCCTGTTGTCTGAGAATGATATTTTGTGAAGGACCTTAAAGAAGAACATTAGGTTTATAATAAGTCGCCTTGTCCAAAGTGGGTCAAGTTTTAGTATCATGCACCGTGAGATGTAGTCTTTCTTACAATCGTAACCAAGTAGTTTTGAGGTAAAATATCGTTGGATACTTTCCATCCTTAGCCTGTCACGTGTGCGATTGCTGCTTATAATAGATGGACAGTATTCTAGTAGTGGTCTGACACATGTTTTGTACAGAATTAGCTTGGCTTCGTTGTCGTGAAAGTTCCTGAGTGTGCATCTTAAGAGCATCCTCGACTTTCGAGTTTGCGATGCTACTTGCTCAGAGAATGTTAAGTCACTAGAGTACCTCAGGCCTAAGTCAACGACACTTCGGAGTCTGGTTAGGTTAGCAGGTTAAAGCGTCAATTTAGGTCAATTGAGGGTGCTCCGAAGCAGATCCAGCCACATTTGTTCAGGTTAAATTGTAGATTTCATAAGGACGACCAAGCAATCATTTTATCTAATTCCCCCTGCACTACATTCTCGAAGTACCCTAAGTCATCACATTGGAATGTGTAAGCTACTTTTAGGTCATCTGCAAAGATGAATGGTTTCCCGTGCGTGAAGCAAGCGTATATGTCATTGATGTATAGTGTAAATAGGAGGGGTCCAATGACACTACCTTGTACTACACCAGAAGTGATAGGGCTAGGTTTGGAGGTTGCAGACCCGAGTTTAACTATTTGGGACCTATTGTTAAGGAATGATTTAAGCCATCCCAATAATATGTCACGTATTCCTAAGGAGTTCAGCCTATTTGTTAGCAGTAAATGGTCAACACGGTCAAATGCCTTAGAAATGTCAAAGTAGATGACAAGTACTAGTTGCCGTCTGTCACGACTACGGGTTACAAAATCGAAGAAGTCTAGGTGACATGTTAAATATGATCTGGATTTCAGGAATCCACGTTGGTCTGGACTTATAATATTGCGGCTAAGCATATGTTTGATTAGGTTATCTTTGGCTAGTCTCTCCATAATTCTAGATGCTATAGGTGTGATATTGATCGGCCGGTAGTTACTGACTTCAGTTTTCGAGCCAGATTTGTGTTTAGGCATAATAAATGTTGTTTTCCATATGTCAGGGTATGTTTGAGTTTCTAGGGACATTGTGAATATTTTAAGCAGCAGTAGAGGAATGTCAGGGCCACCATATTTATAGAAATAAGATGATATACCGTCAGTACCGAAACCTTTTGAACTTTTGAGGGTTCTTATAGTTTGGTTAATATTAGCATAAGTGAATTCAACAGTGCTAGTTTGGTTTGGTGTGAGTGGAGAGGGAGTTTGTGCCATATTAGTAACAGAGTGCATATCGAGTAGCTGGAATGATGACTTAAGGTAGTTACCTGCGAAAGTTTTGTTGAATAGTTCGCATATGTCTGCAGAGTTACTGTATAGCCTACGTTTGTCTACGAGGAGAAAAATGCTGTGATTTTTGTGGTTCATTCGCTTCCTTAAGATTTCTGTGAGTACATACACTCTAGCAGGACTGGCTACTGTGATGCGTTCTTTGTTTCTCATTAGGGAATCTCGAGCTTGTGAGATGGAGCTATGGGTGTTAAGTATTAAACCTAGAGTGCCAAAGTCGTGGTGTTTGAAGTAACTTGTTGAGAGTCTCTTCAGTTTCGTACGATCCTTTGGTTTTATGAATGACTTTCTGTGTGGGGAAACCTTTAGTGTTTGGAGTGGAATGACAGCATAATATATATTTCTTCCTGTTTATGCAGGAACATACCAATTGTACAGGCATGGATAAGTTATTAAATAAATTACACATAATTTCATGTATGATGAATTTACAGTGTGGTTGTTCTTTCTGACATTAGAGTCCATCAGAACAGTCTGCTATAAAGTCTGTTTGTGCAACAAATAAAGAAATATAGAAATATTGTCTTCGCATTAACAAAAAACCCAGACATCAGATGGATGTAATACAAATATCTGGGAAAAATAAAGCTTGAAGTCAATTCTCCTATATAACTTTGTTGTGAACAGCACCCATGGCTTGAAGTTTATTGGTGTATTATGTTGAGATCAGTGATATATTTATTCCACTTTTTCAGCAGTCTTATCGTAGTTTTATAACAGGAAAGAAATTTGATCGTGGATGCGAAAACTAGATAAGGTCATGTTAAGTTGTTTTACTGCATCAAATGGTGCCGAGGTCGGTTCCAGAATTCTCCATTTGCTCCATTTGTTTCTGCATGGCGGACTGTATTCGTAAGTTGAGTAAAATGTTGAAAACTGTTTTAAAACCAGTTGCTTCTTCATTTCAGATCATGAATACTCATTTACAGCATGTTCGCCAGCGTCTTTAAATGGTAGAATTGGATCGTTCCTGGAATTTGAGTGATTATGAGATGAAAGTTTTGGAATTAATCATAGCAGTTTGAATACAGTTAAACATGCAGAGAAGTACTTCTTATTCAGCAACCGGGGAATTTTTTATTCTTTTCGATCTAGTACCAGAATAACTGCGAACCATTCCATTCAAGATGTTGAATAAGGCATGCAGGAGTAGATCATTACCATCAAATGAATCAACTTGATCTGAGATGCAGCTTTCAGCATGTTTTCGTTATATCATAGATATCCAGGTTTATTGGCGCTGTATAGGCAGTGATTTGGATTATGACGTATTCTACAGAGTCTCCGTGCCCATTTGAAGTATACATGTGCTTTGAAAGGATTACTTTGTTGGCTCCTACCCCCACTGAGTGTTTACAACAGCAGCTGTGGATTTATGTATTTCCTCGACATTTTGGATAGAACATAGCCGCATTCTTTTTGGGTAGGAGACCGGTTGGTGGTTTATAAGTGATGTTCAATTAACTTATCTTTCCATGTGGTGTTGCGGTAAGTTTCTACCTTGTTTTCTCATATTTCATTCGTATGTTGGTTATGGTTCGCCCTTTGTATCAGGTAGACATAGTTTGATCGACTATTGATTGAATGGGTGTTATTGTCATGACTGCTTCTTTTTTGCCTGGAATTATAAATAGAGGCAAAACTAACAACAGGTGTAGTTTCTGAGTTCATACATTAAATGGGCCTATGATTTCTGAAACTCTTACATGGGAATTACTACTGGTATCAGTTACAAACTCACTTAGTGTGTCATTAAGTGCCTTTTCAAAGGAGGCCAATGTGCTTGCTAGTCGCATTTTCTCATATAGTTTGTTCCATATTTGGGCATACCTAATCAAGAAAAACTTTTGCCTGGTGGCTGTTTTACATGGTTCTATAGTCACTGTACCTTTAGTGTGTCTAAGTTTGTATCCTGTGTTACCTGAGAACCAAGTATAGTTAGCAGGGTATACACTATTTGGTTAAGAAGCTTATAGAAGAGTACCAGATTTAGTCGCAGTCGCCCTAACCATAATGTTTCTAGTCCCAGGATTTCACATCTGGTAGAGTAGTTTGTGCCGTTATATCTTATTCTCTGTTGCATAACGATTAATTAAAATATTGTGCTGAAATGTACTTGAGCTATTTACAGGTGAGACTGATACACTCTGAAAATTTATAGATTCATGTAAATTTATGTTTATATGAAAATAAAATTATTATTATTAAATGTGTTCAATGGATGTGATGTCCTTTTTTCAACCTGTGCATCGGTATTATGTTCGGCATAGATTTGAAATGTTCCATTTTCTGTTACTGTGATGACCAAGCCTTGTTGTAAACAAAATTGTTTTAAAAGTTGTATCTTTTCAGAATTTTCATTAGTATCTGACGAAATAAATCTCACTTTTAAGCCTCCTTCTTTCATTAATACACTAAATGCACATTTTGGAGCTGATGCTGATGAGCTATTGCAGCTAGTATTATTATCATCATTATTATTGGAAATCATTTGTTTAATACCTTCATGAGTATAAATCTGTTTCCATAGTTGTACACATAATTGTTGTATTTTTGACGGAATATCAAACTCCCAATTAGCCAATAGAACAGCTCTAGCATACATCTGTGGGTGATTATAATCCGAAGGTTTAAGTAGTCTGGATGATAGTCCAGAAGAAACAGGATCTCCGCCAAGACTTATAAATACAGGCCATAAGTGGGTGCTGGATGACTGTTATGACATAGCAGTAGTACACCTCAGTTTATTATTTACATCACCAGCTGACACGACAGAGGTTGAATGTTCTTTTCCTACTTCTTCAGATTGAACATATGCTCGAAGTGATTTAAACAAAATCCAGAATCGTGATTCCAAATTGCTGGCATCTGCTTCACACAAAAATCCATCCCCGTCGCCAATTTGTTATAACTGTAGGGAAATAAATGAGGACGTTGTCGCCTTGTTCTTTGCGTGGGATCCTATCAGAATTCAGAAAGTACATGAGACAACCCCTGTCAATGTAGTTGTCAATCACGTCTCATAAACCGTTAATGCCCAGCTCTTGCCACGCTCGGGCCCACGCTGTTCCTTGAAGTTTTCAGAAACGCTTAGTTATAACGGACGAAAAAACCAAAACACCAATTGTTGACTCGAGGATTCTTTATTGTTACACCAACATATAAAAAGAATAACTGAACTAAGGTCTGTGAACAAATATTACAATAATAAATCATAAGATTACTTCTGACGATGTTTTACTCTTCTTTCTGAACAGCGACCGATGAGACGATGACTGTCGTATCGGTGCCTCCGCGAAAATTGGGGAAGTTGGTTTTGAGCAAACAACCATGAATTGATCGTTCAATCTTCAACTCCATTGACACTCCCCGGCAAAAAATGGATCCATCCCTTTTTTTCCATCACGACGAATACACGTTGACTTGGATGCCATTGCGAGAACCTGGGCCACACGGACAGAGCTGAAATGGAAAACAAACAGAAAAGCCAACACACCACAAGCATACCCACAGCACAATCTCACACATCGCTGACGACCTGCGCCTCCAGACAGAGACCTCCTCTTGACATCTTGCAACACAATCGCCACTTGCTAGAATGACTCTTGCAGAATGCAACGTGACCATGGCAGCACCTCACGATACTCCACGCACATCCTCTTATCTACTCATTACCAATTACCACTGAAATCGCTTGTCACTCATTCTGCCTCAGTTCTAGTAACGATGACGTATGCGAGCCTCAGTCGTTTACACTCCCGCTCCCCGGCGTGTGGGACCGCTGCTAAAAATTATCTCCGTGTGCATTTCATATCTCCAAACAAGTGTCAAATTCACGCAGACTTATCGGCTTTCTACTCAGGAACGTATACAGAAATGTGTCCAGAATTCTGTTGTACAAGGTTTGTGTGCGTCCTTTATTTGATTACTGTTCATTTATGTATAGTAGTATACGCATTGAGGACAAATTGAAAGTCGAGGGAGTGCAGAGGTACTTCACGTCAAAATTACTCGGAACCGAAAATGGTGCGAACTACTCTACTAGATGTGACACCCTAGGATTAGAAACACTATGGCTAAGACGCCTGAGACTAAACTTAACACTTTACTATAAGCTTCTAAACCACTTAGTTTTTACCTCTACTAATGGCATTCGACTTTCAGATGACAGTGTCTACAAACTAAGACACACTAAGGGTACAGTAGCTATCGAACAATGTAAAACAGCTACCAGGCAAAAGTTTTATTTGATTAGGTATGCACAGGTATGGAATAAACTACCAATGGAAATGCGTCAAGCAGGTACATTGGCCTCATACAAAAAAGTGCTTAACGACAAACTACACGAGTTTGCAAACGACAGTAGTCTTAGTTCCTATATGAGAGCCTCCGAAATTATAGGTCCATTTAATGTATAAGTTCAAATACTACACCTGCTGTTTTTGCCTATATTTATAATTTTAGATAGAACATTAACGGTTAAGATACTTACCCTCAAACAGACAAGAAGTTTCGTTTGTAAAACTTCTACCCAACACAATAAGTGGAATAAAATGGACATAAACCGACAACATGAAAAAGGTTATAACTCACCACAACATCACATGGACAGATGTACGCTCGTCGGACATCATATATGCATCACCAACTACAACCCAACATTCCTGAGATAATGTGATGAACTTATATCCATAATGTTGCTGAGCAGTCAATATCCATAACTCCTGTCGGAACAACTAAATTTCAAAAACCTTCCTCACGAGAAGTAAATACCCACAAGCAGTAGAAATCCATTAATTAATGCGTCTAAAGCTTATGTATTTTACTCCCAACGATGACATTGCAGATCAAATGAGATAAACATATCTCTGATTTCAAAATAACACATCAATGAACAATAATTCAAGGATTCTGCACACAACAAAGTATTGTACGAAAATTGACTTCAAGCTTTATTTTTTTTCCCAGGCACTTATAACCCATCCACCAAAGACCTGGTTTTTTTGTTAATGCGAAGACAATACTTCTGTATTTCCTGATGTGTTGCACTCACTGAAAATCTAGCGGATTTTTCCAACTATGCACAGAAATGATTGTACATAAGTGAAAAGGATGTTTTATACTATTCGGATTAACATTTATCAAGTGTATGTATAATCTCCAGTGTACATGTTAAACATATTTTGCTATCGACTGTAAATTGTGACTGAATAATATGGTCCTATTTCTGTAACAATTTGATGATGCCTGTAAACTGGCGTTCCTCATGTACTGTATCATGAGAATAAATTTATTTATTTATTTATTTATTCTCAGCAATAGCCTAGCCTCCCCGGCGTATACGACCCATCTTCTGTCTCTAACATCAATCAATTCATTCATGGATGTAGAAGACTCGAAACAACTTCAGAAGCAATCACGACGATAATTTTAACAAAATTATGCAATAACAACAAGATACGAAAACAACAAGTAAACACAATGAATCCAAAACCACCAATTGATATGACACACCACACGTATATACAAATAGTACAAACAACCTCGCCGATCCTGCTTTGGTGGAATTCCTTTGAAGAATTGCAGGACTTACACCAGTACGCCTACAACCCTTCTCAGGTTGACGATTGTAATTTGTGGAATGTCCGGACACAAACAGAATTACCAACAGCTAGATGATAAATGATACCAATTCAGCATATACAATATGAACATATGTACAAAATCATACACCAAACACATTGGACTGCTCACTGATGCGCTACCCTTTGAAGAATTGTAGGACTTACAGCAGTACGCCTACAACCCTTCTCAGGTTGACGCCCTAGGTTGGAAAATCATCTAGTGTTTCATCCTCCGACTCTCTACTCTCAGCACCTTCCAGTAGACACAGTTTTCTAATATCTCGCACCAACATGCCACAACTAGTTCTCACCTCAACCGTCCTCACCAATCCATCACCACTACAGATCAGCCTTACTACCACTCCCAAAGGCCACCTACCTGTGGCACATTTATCTGCTACTAATACTATGTCACCAACCTTTAAGTTTCGGCACAACTTTTTCCACTTGTCCCTGGTTTTCAGTGTTAGAACATACTCCTTTAACCATCTTTTCCAAAATATATCTTTCATGTGCCTGGCTTGTTTCCATCTTTTAATCGTAGGTATTCCTTCCCCGCTTGCGTCCTCTATGCCAGGGTTGCCTCTCAATAACAATAATTTATTTGGGGTTAACACATCAAAATCCTTGACGTCGTCCCTCACAGGTGATAACGGCCGGTCATTTAATATTCGTTCAGCTTCACAAAAAAATGTCTCCAGCGTTTCGTCATTCAAACTCTGGTTTTTAATTATGGAGCTTAAAATACGCTTGATAATTCCTATAAGTCTTTCCCATAGCCCACCTCTATGGCTGGCATGTGGTGGATTGAAGTGCCACTCGATGTTCCTTTTCAGTAACTCTTCCTGAACTCTCGTTTGAGGACCTTCGAAGTATTCTTTAAGCTCGGCGTGACAGCCAACAAAATTAGTCCCTCTGTCGCTGAACATCATCTTCGGTACACCCCGGCGATTTATAAATCTATGTAATGCTAGCACGAATGAATCAGTAGTTAGCGTATGAACCATCTCAATATGCACAGCTCTCATTTTCAAACAGGTGAATAAACAGCCATATCTTTTACATAGGGTTCTGCCTCTCTTCACTACAAAAGGTCCGAACAAATCCACCCCAACGTACTCAAATGGATAATTCCCTTCAGAAGCTTGCCACGCTGGGAGTGGTGCCATCATCTGCTGTACTGGACGAGCATTTCGGAGTTTACATTCCATGCACTTATCAATTATTTTACGGACAGCAGTACCTCCCTTCACTATCCAGAACTTACATCGAATACTTGATAGTACTTGCGAAGTACCCAAATGACCTTCAAGAACATGGTAGTGTCTTATAATGAGATCAGTGACTGGATGGTAGCAAGGTAATAAAGCCGGATGACGGGTCTCATATGACGATTCTAACATTTGTAGACGTCCACCAACTCTAGCGATCCCTTCGGAAACTATCGGAGATAATCTATCTAACCGCACCTTGAAATCTGCGAAATCGGGACTATCCTCCTTGGCAATCTCACCCCACGCTTCCCACTGAGCAGCCCTCAAAATCGCTAACTCTGCATTTCTAATATCTTCGACTCTCAAAGGCCCCACATTCATATTTTCGTATCCCGCAAGATGCATGACCTTTAAATACGTAACATATCGTGTCAACCACGCAACCGCTTTCAGTAGTTTGTACCAAGAAGAATAATATTTAAAAAGTGGATGTAAACCTGAATGTCTTTCTTGAGTAGATGTTAAACTGACACTTGTCTTCAACTCCAAGGCACACTCGTTTATCGGTGGTTCATCTTCTCTACGAGGCCACATACTATCAGCCCTTAGCAAGAACTCTGGACCTTTCCACCACTTATTTTTAACCACATTCATATCAATAACTCCTCGCGAGGCTAGATCAGCTGGATTTTTTCCAGACGGTACGTACCTCCACTGCTCAACAGTTGTTAGTTCACGAATTTGAGATACTCTGTTAGCTACAAAAC